GAACTTGAAGAAGACTTCAAGTCCCCAAATGCTTTTTTTGCTGGGTTGTTGAAGACATGTATTTTTAATTTGATATATTGTTTCACTGAAAAGAGTGGAGGACAGAATAAATAAGAAGTGGTAGAAAGTAATGCAGTAATTCAACCTTTAAATCATCAGATCAGTGTCAGGATACAAGAGGATCCTGAGCAATATATGTCAGCAACCTACCAAAGAATAGGAAGAAAATATAGATAGGCTTGTTACCAGACCTTAGAATGGCCAGACATTACTGTTACACAGACAGAGCTCAGAGATCAGAACTAAATACTAACATCATTCAGGCTAGGGAGAGTATACCACTTAGGACCAGACAGGTCGAGTACAGTGGATACAGGATAAAACAAAGCCCCAGGTCTGGAACGTAACCGGATCTGATACACAGGTATTACAGGACTAAGACTAAACTCAAGGTCAGGAATGTAGCTGGGTCTGATACACTGAACACAAGCAGGGCCGCCATCAGAAATTTTGGGGCCCCTGACAAAGCACAAGGTTTGGGGCCCCCCCCTCCCTCCCTCCCTCCCGGGCCCGCACACGCCCTACCTGGTCCGCTGACAATGATGCAGGACTGAATGTGGTGTGTATAGTGGAAGTGAATTAGAATGTGTGTAATGGATGTAGTGTTTGTGTGTATTAGATACTGTTTGTACAGTGAATGCAGAGTGTGTGTTTGTGTAGCGGATGCATTGTGTGTACAGTTAATGCAGAGTGTATGTTAGTGTAGTGAATGCAGAGTGTGTGTCAGTATAGTGAATGCAGAGTATGTCAGTGTAATGAATGTAGTGTGTGTGTTAATGCAGTGAATGCAGAGTGTGTGTAAATTTGTAGTGAATGCAGAGTGTGTGTTAATGTGTAGTGAATGCAGAGTGTGTTTGTGTAGTGAATGCAGAGAGTGTGTTAGTGTGTAGTGGATGCAGAGTGTGTGTTAGTGTAGTGAATGCAGAGAGTGTGTTAATGTGTAGTGAATGCAGAGAGTGTGTTAGTGTGTAGCGGATGCAGAGTGTGTGTTAGTGTAGTGAATGCAGAGAGTGTGTTAATGTGTAGTGAATGCAGAGAGTGTGTTAGTGTGTAGCGGATGCAGAGTGTGTGTTAGTGTAGTGAATGCAGAGATTGTGTTAGTGTGTAGCGGATGCAGAGTGTGTGTGTTAGTGTAGTGAATGCAGAGTGTGTTAATGTGTAGTGAATGCAGAGAGTGGGTTAGTGTGTAGCAAATGCAGAGTGTGTGTTAGTGTAGTGAATGCAGAGAGTGTGTTAGTGTGTAGCGGATGCAGAGTGTGTGTTAGTGTAGTGAATGTAGAGAGTGTGTTAGTGTGTAGTGGATGCAGAGTGTGTGTTAGTGTAGTGAATGCAGAGTGTGTTAATGTGTAGCGAATGTAGAGTGTGTCAGTATAGTGGATGCAGAATGTGTGTTAGTGTGTAGCGAATGCAGAGTGTGTTAATGTGTAGCGAATGCAGTGTGTGTGTTGTGTTAGTGGATGCAGCGTGTGTGTGTGTGTTGTGTTAGTGTATGCAGTGTGTGTTGTGTTAGTGTATGCAGTGTGTGTGTGTTGTGTTAGTGTATGTAGTGTGTGTGTTGTGTTAGTGTATGCAGTGTGTGTTGTGTTAGTGTATGCAGTGTGTGTGGGTTGTGTTAGTGTATGTATTGTGTGTGTTGTGTTAGTGTATGCAATGTGTGTGTTGTGTTAATGTATGCAGTGTGTGTTGTGTTAGTGTATGTAGTGTGTGTGTTGTTTTAGTGTATGCAGTGTGTGTTGTGTTAGTGTATGCAGTGTGTGTTGTGTTAGTGTATGTAGTGTGTGTGTTGTGTTAGTGTATGCAGTGTGTGTGTTGTGTTAGTGTATGCAGTGTGTATGTTGTGTTAGTGTATGCAGTGTGTGTTGTGTTAATGTGTGCAGTGTGTGTTTTGTATTGGTGTATGCAGTGTGTGTGTTGTGTTAGTGTATGCAGTGTGTGTGTTGTGTTAGTGTATGCAGTGTATGTGTGTGTTATTGTATGCAGTGTGTTGTGTTAGTGTATGCAGTGTGTGTGTTGTGTTAGTGTATGCAGTGTGTGTGTAAATGTGTGATCTGGGGGGGAGGGGGAGGAAGGGGCATTTTAACATTAATTTTTAATTAATTTAATTAAATGTTTCTAGCCCCCCTCCCTGCTTACCTGTGTCCATGGAGGGGGAGATTCCATCTGTGGTGGTCCAGTGGGGGCCCCCCGCTCCCTGTTACCGTCTGCAGAGGGGGCCCAGGCAGCACACAGCTTCTCCTCTTCTAATAACTCTCACGAGACCCGCGGAGCGTTGTCATGGTAACCGGGTCTCGCGAGAGTTATGAGAAGAGAGAAGAGAGGAGGAGAAGCTGTGTGCTGCCTGGGTCTCCCCCCTCTGCGGTAACAGGGAGCCAGGGGCCCGCGGCTGCACACATAGATAGCGATATTCGCTATCTATGTGTGCAGAGAAACAAAGTGGGGCCCAGGACTGCCAGAGCAGTCCGGGCAGGGCCGGACTGGCCCACCGGGATACCGGGAAATTTCCCGGTGGGCCGCGGCACCTGGGGCCGGTCTGACAGCTCACACACGGCCGGCCGGGATCATTAAAAAAAAAAAAAATTGCGGCGGGGGCGGAGCTTAGTGCGACGGGGGCGGGGCTAACTGGGCTTAGCGTGCGGCGGGGGCGGGGCTTAGCGTGCGGCGGGGGCGGGGCTTAGCGTGCGGCGGGGGCCTGGCTGACTGCAGCATGGGAAGCAGGTAGGAGTCCCTGCTTCCCCAACAACCAGCCTCCAGGAACTGCAAGCAGGAGGGAAGAAGGAGGTCAGTGTGTGAGTGTGAGTGTGTGACTGTCTGTGTGTGACTGTCTCTATGTGAGTGTGTGACTATCTGTGTGTGACTGTCTCTGTCTCTATGTGAGTGTGTGACTGTCTCTGTGTGAGTGTGTGACTGTCTCTGTGTGAGTGTGTGACTGTCTCTGTGTGTCTGCCTGTGAGTGTGTGACTGTCTCTGTGTGAGTGTGTGACTGTCTCTGTGTGCCTGCCTGTGAGTGTGTGACTGTCTCTGTGTGAGTGTGTGACTGTCTCTGTGTGAGTGTGTGACTGTCTCTGTGTGTCTGCCTGTGAGTGTGTGACTGTCTCTGTGTGAGTGTGTGACTGTCTCTGTGTGTCTGCCTGTGAGTGTGTGACTGTCTCTGTGTGACTGCCTGTGAGTGTGTGACTGTCTGTGTGAGTGTGTGACTGTCTCTGTGAGTGTGTGTGACTGTGGAGTGTGTGACTGTCTCTGTGTGGAGTGTGTGACTGTCTCTGTGTGCCTGCCTGTGAGTGTGTGACTGTCTCTGTGTGTGTGTGACTGTCTCTGTGTGACTGTCTGTGAGTGTGTGACTGTGTGAGTGTGTGACTGCCTGTGAGTGTGTGACTGCCTGTGAGTGTGTGACTGTCCCTGTGTGAGTGTGTGACTGCCTGTGAGTGTGTGACTGTCTGTGAGTGTGTGACTGTCTCTGTGTGAGTGTGTGACTGCCTGTGAGTGTGTGACTGTCTCTGTGTGACTGCCTGTGAGTCTGGGACTGTCTCTGTGTGAGTGTGTGACTGCCTGTGAGTGTGGGACTGTCTCTGTGTGAGTGTGTGAGTGTGTGACTGTGTGAGTGTGTGACTGTGTGTGAGTGTGTGACTGTCTGTGTGTGACTGCCTGTGTGAGTGTGTGACTGTGTGAGTGTGTGACTGTGAGTGTGTGACTGTGTGTGAGTGTGTGACTGTCTGTGTGGGACTGCCTGTGTGACTGTGTGACTGTGTGAGTGTGTGACTGTGAGTGTGTGACTGTGAGTGTGTGACTGCTTGTGAGTGTGTGACTGTCCCTGTGTGAGTGTGTGACTGCCTGTGAGTGTGTGACTGCCTGTGAGGTGTATGACTGTCTGAGGTGTGTGACTGTCTCTGTGTGAGTGTGTGACTGCCTGTGAGGTGTGTGACTGTCTCTGTGTGACTGTCTCTGTGGCGACTGCCTGTGAGTCTGGGACTGTCTCTGTGTGAGTGTTGACTGCCTGTGAGGTGTGGGACTGTCTCTGTGTGGTGTGTGACTGCCTGAGGTGTGTGACTTTGTCTGAGTGTGACTGCCTGAGGTGTGTGACCTGTGAGTGTGTGACTGCCTGTGAGGTGTGTGACTGCCTGTGGAGTGTCGACTGCCTGTGTGAGTGTGTGTGACTGTCTGTGTGATGGTCTGTGTGTGACTGTCTGTGTGTGACTGCCTGTGTGGTGTGTGACTGTCTGTGTGACTGTGTGAGTGTGTGACTGTCTGTGTGTGATGGTCTGTGTGTGACTGCCTGTGTAAGTGTGTGACTGCCTGTGAGTGTGTGACTGTCTGTGTGAGTGTGTGACTGTGAGTGTGTGACTGTCTCTGTGTGAGTGTGTGACTGCCTGTGAGTGTGTGACTGCCTGTGAGTGTGTGACTGTCTGTGTGTGACTGCCTGTGTAAGTGTGTAACTGTGTGAGTGTGTGACTGTGTGAGTGTGTGACTGTCTGTGTGAGTGTGTGACTGTCTGTGTGTGACTGTCTGTGTGTGACTGTCTGTGAGTGTGTGACTGTCTGTGTGTGTGTGTGACTGTCTGCCTGTGTGTGAGTGTGTGGCTGTCTGCCTGTCTTTGTATGTGTGGGTGTTTGCCTCGGTGTCAATGACTGTCTGCCTGTGTGTGTGTGGCTGTCTGCCTGGGTGTCAGTGACTGTCTGCCTGTGTGTGTGTGGCTGTCTGCCTGGGTGTCAGTGACTGTCTACCTCTGTGTGTGTGTGTGCGCACATCTGCTAGTGAGGGAGCCTGTGTGTGTGTGTGTGTGTGTGCCTGCTAGTGAGTGAGCTTGTATGTGTATCAGTGAGCTTGTCTGTAGGGATCATATGTGTGTGTGCATGTTAGTGAGCTTGTCTGTAAGAAGCATGGGTGTGCCGGAGCCTGTCTGTGGTGAGCATGTGTGTACAGTGAGCTTGTCTGTAGTAAGCATGAGTGTGCAGCCAACTATTTCAATTGCCTATATATATATATATATATATATATATGCAATTGAAATAGTTGGCTGCACTCTCGGATTTCCTGAAAATGTAACTTTTATTGAAATATTTAAGAGAAGATCAACGTTTCAGTCCCTCTTGTGGACTTGCATCAGGATCATGACGAAAGTCCACAAGTGGGACTGAAACATTTCAACTATTTCAATTGTATGTATGTATATATATATATATATATATATATATATATATATATATATATATATATATATATATATATATATACACCCTCCTACATAGCACAATGACTTATGGGGCTGGCATAGATTTTTTTCCAGGGCTGCTTCGTATCCCCAGTCCGGCCCTGAGTCCGGGCCCCCCAGGGCCGCCGGGCCCGTGACAACTGTCACGGTTGTCACCCCCTGATGGCGGCCCTGAACACAAGGACTGGACAAACTCAGAGATAGCCAGGTAGGGAATGGATAAACAAGGAATATTGTATGAAATGCCAAGGGGCATGTGTAACCACAAAAGGGTAGTTGTCAACAGGGCCTCATTTAAAACGTCAGGTGCCTCTAGGCATAGTTATATAGTAACATAGGCTGAAAAGAGACATGTCTCCATCCAGTTCAGCTTTCCTCAGATCATTTTTGCTGTTGATCCTAAATAAGGCAAAAAACCCAGTTTGAAGCACTTCCAATTTTGCAACAAACTAGGAAAAAAATTAATTCTTGACCTCAGAATGGCAGTTAGATGTATCCTTGGATCAAGAAGCTATTAACCTTGATTTGAAAAATTATATAATTGAATATTATGTTTTTGCAAGTATGTATAGTTGCTTTTAAAGCATCTGTACGAACTCTGATAAAACCACTTCTTCAGGCAGAGAATTCCACATGCTTATTGTTCTTACGGTAAAAAAATACTTTCCTTTGCCTGAGACTAACTCTCCTTTCTTCCAGTCTAAACGCATATGTCCTAGGTATAGTCCTGTTTGTGAACTAGGCATAGAATTCTAAGACTCCCCCTGGCTCCCCAAAAAATAAACATTAGTAAAATAGAAATTGTGGTAGCTTTTCAACTTGCCAATAGCTGTGTAAAATGATGAAGGTGCAATAGTGAGATTTTGTTCATAGAACAATTTATTAAATTGTATTTAAAATGTGGTCACAGTTTTAAAAAGGCACTTATATACATATATAAAAAGGGCAAAATAAACAGGTAATATTATATTCCCCTCAATAGAAAGCCAGTAATAGGCTGGATCTTTATTTCAGTTAATGCTCTCAGGCTTTCAGCCCAGAAGTCTAATGTTGGTTCTGCGCGTGTTTGGAGTCTGTTATCAATACGTACAGCATGCTGGTAATGCACAACCAAAGGCAGTATGGCACAGCACGGCTCTCTGTCCTATGATTAAGGCTCTTAGGAGCCGAAACGTCGCACTTATTTTGGTGAGGTGGTGAACACACAAATAAATTCACCTTCTATAACCTGGAGTGCTGTCTGTGTTTTTCTTATTTGCTACTACATTGGTGGATTCA